TCATTATACCTGATGATGATTGCTTGTGTTGCAATCGAAACGTCGTATGTTATTATTTAATTTATTATTTTTTCTTTATACGTGACTTTACCGGAAAAACCAAAGAATAATTGCTGCTGCTGCTGCTGCTCTGTGAGGCCGCCGCTCAGGGAGCGAGGGGCTCCGGGCGAGGGGGAGGGGCTCCGGGTGAGGGGGAGGGGCTCCGGGCGAGGGGGAGGGGCTCCGGGCGAGGGGGAGGGGCTCCGGGCGAGGGGGAGGGGCTCCGGGCGAGGGGGAGGGGCTCCGGGTGAGGGGGAGGGGCTCCGGGCGAGGGGGAGGGGCTCCGGGCGAGGGGGAGGGGCTCCGGGCGAGGGGGAGGGGCTCCGGGCGAGGGGGAGGGGCTCCGAGCTCGCCGCAATTTTCCCGCGCGTTTTTTGGAAGCGACGCGCGGTACACAGCACTCACTGTACGTATAGTCACTCGTGACGGCACCCACTGTACGTACAGTCACTCGTGACGGCACCCACTGTACGTACAGTCACTCGTGACAGCACCCACTGTACGTACAGTCACTCTCGTGACAGCACTCACTGTACGTACATTCACTCTCGTGACAGCACCTACTGTACGTACAGTCACTCGTGACGGCACCCACTGTACGTACAGTCACTCGTGACGGCACTCACTGTACGTACAGTCACTCGTGACGGCACCCACTGTACGTACAGTCACTCGTGACGGCACCCACTGTACCTACAGTCACTCGTGACGGCACCCACTGTACGTACAGTCACTCGTGACGGCACCCACTGTACGTAAGTCACTCGTGACGGCACCCACTGTACGTACAGTCACTCGTGACGGCACCCACTGTACGTACAGTCACTCGTGACGGCACCCACTGTACGTACAGTCACTCGTGACGGCACCCACTGTACGTACAGTCACTCGTGACGGCACCCACTGTACGTAAGTCACTCGTGACGGCACCCACTGTACGTACAGTCACTCGTGACGGCACCCACTGTACGTACAGTCACTCGTGACGGCACCCACTGTACGTACAGTCACTCGTGACGGCACCCACTGTACGTACAGTCACTCGTGACGGCACCCACTGTACGTGCGGTCACTTGTGATAGCACTGTACTCGTGACGTCACTTATTTTGACATTTCGGGATTGTGCCGACTTGAGATGTAGCGCACGGGGACGCGGTACCCAATATACTGTTTACTGCATCATCAGTATAAATAATATACTGATGATGCTGTATACAAAGTATTGTTATTGTGCTTTAGAGGCTATGTTGGTTGCAAACTTAGCACGGTTGGCTACGTGTGGTGCGAAACAAGTTATAAACACATGATTTCTTCGCTTTGATGAGTGAAGGTGACACTGGGTGAGACCGAATCTGCGTTGGGTGGCCAGCTGCTTGGGGTCTCTTCGGGTGACAGGAGTTCACTTGTGCCCAGATCTCGCAGCGGAGTTGTGAACTTTATTGCGATTTGCAACCCAGTTCTGATGTCCCTTGGGTTGACCGAAAAAAAACCAACATCTGTTATTGGTTTACAGTGGAAAAGTTGGCAAACCCAAATTAATTGTCTGCATAACGGTCGCCGATGTATGTCTTGGCAGCACGCCACGCACAAGTTGTATCTGAGACAAACCCCAGGGCGCCAGTGGAGATGACAATTGTGGTAATTTGCAAGCTGCTGGTGTCTGCGCTGACGGTGCAGGGAGGCTGGCGACGATCCTGGGCATGAAGGCGGTGCACGGGAAGGGGTTGGGGTCGCCTATGGACGCTGAACAACTGAGGAGGAGCGTGCGGCAGCTGGTGACCAGCCACGTGGAGGTTGACCTCCTGTTTAAGGAGGTGAGCGAGCGCCCTTGTGTTCACTTTGCGAGATCTTCCCCCACTCAGCCCAGACGCACAGCCCTTTGACCTCCCATATTAGCCAAATCTCTGCCCCCCCTCCTCATGTTCCACCCCTCATGTTTGTACAGTATTAATAAAAAAACAGCTAACTCCATAAAATGTCAACCTGACCAAGCTGCAGCGTGTGTACAATTCTCTGGCACGTGTCATGGCTTGGTACCGCGAGATCTGACCGTGTCTGCCCAGTGCTTGCCGAGCTGAGTTGCCTTCCGGTTGCCAAACGAATAAGTTATGAGGCCGCGCTCATTACACGCAAGGCGCTTGCCACAAATGAACCACAATACCTTTACTGATCTCGTCAAGGAGCATACACCATCATCACACGAACTCCGCTCATCCTCGCAGCGGATTTTTGGCTAGCCATTGAACAAAGACGGTCACTGCATCGCGTGCTTTCAGATGCGCTTCTTTGGCCGTCTGGAACGCGCTTCCTTACGATATTATGAAGCCACTGGGCGCTATGCACTTTTACATCCAGGTTGAAAACTAATTTATTTAAAACTGCTTTTTGTGTTAAGTTTGACCTTTCCCCGCGCACCTCCGATTAGCATGGTTGGCTACGTATGGTGCGAAATAAGTTTACAAACATACACACATACATACAACGGTGAGTTATCTGAATAAGAGTGTGCACGTCCTGTAACGGTGGGCCGTGTTTATTGCTGGAATGTATCATTGTGCCGGAAATGTGAATAAAGAAAATATTTAAAAAAATAGCGCACATGCATCTGTGGCACCATTCTGCATCTGTGGCACCATTCTGCATCTGTGGCACCATTCTGCATCTGTCGTTCGCGTTCCCAGCACCCTGTTCCACCTCTCTCCTCTCCACGTCCTCCGGTGTCTTACATTGTGATCCTCACCCTTTACGTTTGCTGCGTCCGAGTTCACCGAGAGCCTTGTGTGCACGGTTGCAAGTATAATTATAATGGTAACAACAATCATGCCATTTTATTTACCCTATAAAGTCTTACAGAGGATGAAGACTTTTTCTCAGGTGGGCCCTGTATTGCATTTTTTGGTCAGTTACATTAATTAGTATTTAGTTTTGTGTGGGAGGAAAGCAGATTTTATTTGATTACAACACTTTGTCACTTTTCTCCTGCATGAAAGGATCCGCTTACTGTGGTGGTCATGGGAATTTTTTTTAACATACTTTACCACGCTGGTCCTTGGTGGTTGGTGAAAGGGTTGAGAGTGTTTGAGGGGATAGGTGCATCAGGACTTGTGTATGTCACTTGCCAATGCTGTTAGTCATGCACGGGAATTGGATTCGGGATGCTGAGTTCTTATCAGTGCCCTAACCGATGTGTCTCCACTCCACCTTGAAACCATAGTACCCATAGAAAAACGGCTGTGCGTATGAGGTAATAGATAACGTTAGAAGATTAAGGAATGTATTGTTCAACTGCTATTGACTGGCCACCGCTGTGGAAAGGGTCTCTTTTTCGAATGGTGAATTGGTGTTCTAGCGGGTGGTGAACCAGCACCACTGAAATCCTGAGTTTGAAACTGGGTGTCAGCCGCACACGATTAAACTAGGTTCTGAAGTGAAGTTAGTTGATCTCTGCCTGGTTACAAATGACTGCAACAAAAATCTTGCTGGGCTTAGCACAGCTTTACATTGCCTAAATGCACTTGAAAAATATTACGTTTTCTTGTTTTTTGTTGTGTCAAGATTGCAGACCTTGGTTTAGGCAATGACATTTTGGGCACGGATCCTGGACATTTGAAGGCCCCTGCGGTCATCGGCTGTGCAGGTACAGTTGTCCACAGTGCAAACCCAGGGGTCTCAGTGTCATCTAGAGGTGAACAACTCAAAGATCAGGAGGCAACTGTGGCCAACACACTGCACCCATTGCTTTCCGTTCACCAGATCTCGCAACCGTTGCACGGTGAACATCCGAGCTCAAAGGTCTGCTCTTGTAGTCTCCCAACATCTGCCTTTAGGTTGTCCCTTTGGTTACTGGGCTCGAGGTACCACACCGATGCCAGTCTCGGTAACCTGCCGCCCTCTATCCTGCACACACCCATCACAACTACTTCTTTATGATCACATATGCAACGTTTTTCCATGATCTGCTCTAATATATGTGTTGAATTGAGGATGGTTAGAATAATTTGGGGTTTGGGGGTGGGGAAAGAGATCATGGCAGTGGTGAGTGACACGCGCAGTTTTGTATTAATCAGTGAAGCATCACCTCTAGTTTCAGGGATGCAGGAGATCGTTCAGGAGCAAGTAGCAGCCACAGGTCTCTGTGGTGATGTCCTGGCCGCAAAGCTCCTGGCTGCCGAAGTGCTGAGCATTCTGGGAGTGCGCAAGCCCACACGGAGCGACACGACCCACACCCCACAAGACCACACCAAGTGTCAGGCGCTGCTGGAGCCCGAGCAGAGAGTGAGCGTCCACTCATCACTCACTCGCATTCAACAGCTTGCACACAGTCAATAACTCGCACACTTTGTCAAACTGACACTCATTAGCTCACTCACTCGCACGCAACTCATTCATACACTCATACACTCATTCATTCACAAACGGACTTATTTAACAACTTTCTCACACTCACACTAATTCATCTCGTCCCCTTTGCGGGGTACTGTATTTAAATGCACATACGGTAAGTGTTTATACAATGTGGGACGATTCAACAACAAAGGGAAGCAGTGTTAAATTCCTAACTAAGAAGAAATATTGTACTTCACATCTAATACTGTAATAAATATTGTATATTCTTTGGTTCTTTCGGTTAAGTCACGTCTAAAGATAAAATAATAAATTAAAATAAAAGCATATTACGACGTTTCGATTGCAACACAAGCAATCATCATCAGGCAAAAAAAGAAGAAATAGCAACAAAAAATCTAACTAGAAAACTATAGACAGACATACAAGCAGACAGACATCACGCGGACACACAGAGAGAGGACACATATCGGCACAAAGAGAGGGGTCGTTTCTGTGACGGTCCCTTAAATATAGAGAGGGGGGCAGGGACGGAGAGAGGGAGGGGGCAGAGAAAATTAGCATATCAATGAGTGGCAAAGTGCTGCTGCTACTCTAGTAAGATGACGACGTGGCACGGCACGCAAGCTTGCAAATTAGGAGAAAGGCACACTAAAATTAAATAACCTCGCAAAATATCGAAATGTGATGTAATACAACACAGAGAGTCGGTCAACACACAATTAACGCATAGCCTGGTTGATTACGTATCTCAAAGATTGCTAAGTTAGAGTTTAAGTGTGAAACTTCCAAAGAGAGGACACAAGGAGAGAGAACAAATAGCCAGAGAGAGAAAAAAGAAAATCTTAAAACTTCCCCGTAGAAGTGGTTTTCTCTCTGGCTATTTGTTCTCTCTCCTTGTGTCCTCTCTTTGGAAGTTTCACACTTAAACTCTAACTTAGCAATCTTTGAGATACGTAATCAACCAGGCTATGCGTTAATTGTGTGTTGACCGACTCTCTGTGTTGTATTACATCACATTTCGATATTTTGCGAGGTTATTTAATTTTAGTGTGCCTTTCTCCTAATTTGCAAGCTTGCGTGCCGTGCCACGTCGTCATCTTACTAGAGTAGCAGCAGCACTTTGCCACTCATTGATATGCTAATTTTCTCTGCCCCCTCCCTCTCTCCGTCCCTGCCCCCCTCTCTATATTTAAGGGACCGTCACAGAAACGACCCCTCTCTTTGTGCCGATATGTGTCCTCTCTCTGTGTGTCCGCGTGATGTCTGTCTGCTTGTATGTCTGTCTATAGTTTTCTAGTTAGATTTTTTGTTGCTATTTCTTCTTTTTTTGCCTGATGATGATTGCTTGTGTTGCAATCGAAACTTCGTAATATGCTTTTATTTTAATTTATTATTTTATCTTTAGACGTGACTTAACCGAAAGAACCAAAGAATAATTCCTGCAGTCACGAAAGCTCCATAATTAAAATATTGTATAGTAAATAAAACACAAAATAAGGTAACATGAATAGAAAAAAAAAATGTTTTATTTTCACTTACCTTGAATCCTGGGCACGCACGCGCACACACAGATACACCAATGACAAAGATCCCCCATGAAGCCTTCACATGCTGTTATGGCAAGTGCTGTTAGCGAGCTGTGCCGGCACGGTATGGCACACGAGGGAGTGGGTGGCCAGCACCATGCTAGGCAGCCTTTGACTCCCCAGTGGCGATGTTTACACTGCATTAGGTACCCATTTGAGGCTGATTTGACCTCGGGTAGGCCCAGGACCGATTCAGATAATCGTCACTGGTCTTTGTCGTGAGTGGGAATTGAACTCTGGTCGCCGGGTTGGTAGTACAGCATGGTAACCATTGAACTACCGCTCCTACACACACACACACACACGTGGGGGCACGCACAAGCGTACACGCACACACTTAAACACACAACAACAACAATCCCTATTCACCACTCACCACTAAGTGGTGGTGACGTCACCATGGCGCTTGTGCCAGGCCATGTGCACTTTAAGGCCACGTGAAGTGTCTAATGCCTGCTGGCAGGTCACAGGACAGATCCAGGTGCCATGGGTTGACTGACTGAGATGATTGGCAGATGCACCACACACACACAAACCCTTCCCATGCAAGGCTGACTTGTTACATCTCGTGCAGAATCGCTCTGCTGAACAATATCTTTTTGCGGTTCAGTTTGCAAGTACGAGTTTGCATTTTAAGTCGATCTTAACAAAACATCTCATGGAACCTGGTTCGTAAATGTAGGTGTTTGTAAGCCGAGGACTGCCTGTAGTCACACTCACCAACTCATTCATATGAAAACAAAGATCCTCCATATAGCCTTAACAGACTGTTGGGTGTAAGTGCATTACACCCACTCGCTCACGCACTTGCTTCTTCAACAACTTGCACTCATACACTCACTGAACCAATCACTGAACCAAACACTCTTACTCACTCGTCATTATGAAGACTGGACTCAGCTTTTCTGATGCCCCTGCATCAGAAAAGCTGTGTTCACAGTTAGCCCTGCGTCAGACAAGCTGTGTTCACAGTTAGCCCTGCATCAGACAAGCTGTGTTCACAGTTAGCCCTGCGTCAGACAAGCTGTGTTCACAGTTAGCCCTGCGTCAGACAAGCTGTGTTCACAGTTAGCCCTGCGTCAGACAAGCCGTGTTCACAGTTAGCCCTGCGTCAGACAAGCTGTGTTCACAGTTAGCCCTGCGTCAGACAAGCTGTGTTCACAGTTAGCCCTGCGTCAGACAAGCTGTGTTCACAGTTAGCCCTGCATCAGACAAGCTGTGTTCACAGTTAGCCCTGCGTCAGACAAGCTGTGTTCACAGTTAGCCCTGCGTCAGACAAGCTGTGTTCACAGTTAGCCCTGCATCAGACAAGCTGTGTTCACAGTTAGCTCTGCGTCAGACAAGCTGTGTTCACAGTTAGCCCTGCATCAGACAAGCTGTGTTCACAGTTAGCCCTGCGTCAGACAAGCTGTGTTCACAGTTAGCCCTGCGTCAGACAAGCTGTGTTCACAGTTAGCCCTGCGTCAGACAAGCTGTGTTCACAGTTAGCCCTGCATCAGACAAGCCGTGTTCACAGTTAGCCCTGCATCAGACAAGCTGTGTTCACAGTTAGCCCTGCGTCAGACAAGCTGTGTTCACAGTTAGCCCTGCATCAGACAAGCTGTGTTCACAGTTAGCCCTGCATCAGACAAGCCGTGTTCACAGTTAGCCCTGCGTCAGACAAGCCGTGTTCACAGTTAGCCCTGCATCAGACAAGCTGTCTTCACAGTTAGCCCTGCATCAGACAAGCTGTGTTCACAGTTAGCCCTGCGTCAGACAAGCTGTGTTCACAGTTAGCCCTGCGTCAGACAAGCTGTGTTCACAGTTAGCCCTGCATCAGACAAGCTGTGTTCACAGTTAGCCCTGCATCAGACAAGCTGTGTTCACAGTTAGCCCTGCATCAGACAAGCTGTGTTCACAGTTAGCCCTGCATCAGACAAGCCGTGTTCACAGTTAGCCCTGCATCAGACAAGCCGTGTTCACAGTTAGCCCTGCATCAGACAAGCCGTGTTCACAGTTAGCCCTGCATCAGACAAGCTGTGTTCACAGTTAGCTCTGCGTCAGACAAGCTGTGTTCACAGTTAGCCCTGCATCAGACAAGCTGTGTTCACAGTTAGCCCTGCATCAGACAAGCTGTGTTCACAGTTAGCCCTGCATCAGACAAGCCGTGTTCACAGTTAGCCCTGCATCAGACAAACTGTGTTCACAGTTAGTTCTGCATCAGACAAGCTGCCTTCACAGTTAGCCCTGCATCAGACAAGCCGTGTTCACAGTTAGCCCTGCATCAGACAAGCTGTGTTCACAGTTAGCCCTGCATCAGACAAGCTGTCTTCACAGTTAGCCCTGCATCAGACAAACTGTGTTCACAGTTAGCCCTGCATCAGACAAGCTGTGTTCACAGTTAGCCCTGCATCAGACAAGCTGTCTTCACAGTTAGCCCTGCATCAGACAAGCTGTGTTCACAGTTAGCCCTGCATCAGACAAGCTGTCTTCACAGTTAGCCCTGCATCAGACAAGCTGTGTTCACAGTTAGCCCTGCATCAGACAAGCTGTGTTCACAGTTAGCCCTGCATCAGACAAGCCGTGTTCACAGTTAGCCCTGCATCAGACAAGCCGTGTTCACAGTTAGCCCTGCATCAGACAAGCCGTGTTGACAGTTAGCCCTGCATCAGACAAGCCGTGTTCACAGTTAGCCCTGCATCAGACAAGCCGTGTTCACAGTTAGCCCTGCATCAGACAAGCTGTCTTCACAGTTAGCCCTGCGTTGGGGTGGATGGGGTCCGTAGTCGCCGCTGCAATGGCTCGTGCTGTTCACCGCTGTCCGCAGACGAGGCTTGTGGCGGTGCTGGGCGCGTGCTCACAGCTGCTGACGAGCACGGGGCTCAGCCGGCCTCACTTCCTGCATCAGCTGCAGCAGCAACAGGTGAGCAGCACTGTGGTAACTCCCCCCCGGCCCCCCACCACTGTGCCGAGTGACCTCATGCACGCAGGGGTAGCTGTTCCTGGGGGTGCCCTTTTCAAATGTTTGAAATGGGATGTGAAGTAAAACGCCTGGGATACAGGAGGTCGTGGGTTTGATCCCAACCCTAAAGCCTGTTGTATGTTCGGAATTTGCGTGTCTCTCACTGTGGTCGCGTGGATTTTTCTCTGGGTCCTCCGATTTTCCCTCCACTTTTAGAATCAACATCACGTTTTTATAGTATTTGGCTGCTGTTCATTTCCACATGGTGATAAGCCACTTCGTTGAGCTATCATCTGTGGCCAGGATGCTTCTGAAAAGGAGCTATATAGCTCAGTGGGTCTTACCTGCTAAAATTTAAATAGTGTAGGGATGTTGGAGAGAGGGCCGTTATGCATGGCAGCCTATGGGAAAGAAACACAGTGGGCGGAGCTACGTGTGTGCACAGGGAGATGCCCTCTGCGACGTCCGAGCCAGACACCCTGGGGGGGGGCTGGTTCGGCGTTACGATCCCCCGGGGCCCCACCCCTCAAGGAGGGTTGGGTATAAAAAGGGGTCGTTATATGGGCTTAGTTAGTTATGTTATAGTTAAGCTAAGAAGTCGGAAGACGTCGTAGCTAGAGCCCTGGACTCCCCCTGATCGCCGCCCTTATCAGGGCCCCACGGGATCAGGCTCGAGCCAGTGGCGTGGTCCCGTGAACCAGAGCCAGTGCTCTGGGACTCCGGGTACCGAGCCCGATTACCAGTGTCGGGCCAGACAGCCTCCCCTAGCTCTTAGTGGAGGACTCAGGGGATAGGCTATGGATAGCTAGGGGTATTCCCTGAGTTATACGGGTGAGGGGGCCGCTACCCCCTCTAGGGCTGTCCTGTACTGGCAACTTGTTAAATAAATATACGTGTGCCTCAACTCCGTTGTCAAGCGTCCTCGACGGGTACTTCATCTGGCGTCAGAAGTGGTAAAAATGGAAACGCGCCATACAGCTCGGACCAGGGTACCACAAGAGGAGGACGCCGCGGAGATCGCCGAGCCCGAGACAGAGCAACAAGATGGGGTGCAGCCGGAGCCTGGCGCCTTCTCACCGGGACGTCAGCATGGAGAGGGGCCGCAGCCAGATGCACTACGACTGGCTCACGAACGGCTGGCGGAGCTACTTTATGCCGCTGCCGCCACACTGGAAGGCATTACGCGGTTGGGGGCTGGTGGTCCACCGCAGGGCGAGGAGAACCGGCGGCCGGAGCACTTTCCCGCCATTTCAGCGACTTCAAAATTTGAATTTCCCGCCATGGACGCCGCGGCTGTTCGGGGCGTGGCCAGCTTAGACATCGGCTCCGACATCGCCGTCGCCGGGGCTGCAGCGTCATCGCAGCCGAAGGATGCGTCATCGCTGCCGCGACAGGCGATGCCATCGGCCAGTCGCGCCGAGGCACCGCCAAAGGGAGGTGAAAGCAACCTGCGGGAGTCCACATCGACCGCTGCGCTTCACCAAAGACTGCCCCCGCTGAAAGAATTCATCGGTGCGGAGGGGGACTGGGGCGGCTTCCGGCGACGCTTCCTCGCCCATCAGGAGATGGCGCGGTGGTCCGACGAGGAGGCCCTTTGCGCGCTGCCGGCGCTCCTCGATGGGGACGCGCTCGCCGCACTCACGTCGGCACCAAAAGAGAAGCGGGCTACACTACCAATGGCGCTACAGCTGCTGGCCGGGGTCTATGGACCTTCAGCCGAATGCCGTCAGCAGTTCTACGATCGCAGGCGGGGTGAAAAAGAGTCGCCTCTGGCTTTCCGGACAAGTCTTCTGGCGCTGGCAAAAACAGCCTTTCCCCGCATGGACGACGACGGCGTGGACGCAATGGTCGCGGAGAAGATCCTCCTCTTGGCGGACGACCTCGACATCGTCGTCATCGCACAAGGGGATGCAGAAATGACCTCCCTCCAGGCTGCGCGACTCCTCCACGCCAACCTTCTGCAGCAGCGGCGAAAGGCAAACAGGGCATCGGCTGGGCGTGCGGTGGCTGCAGCCACCCTTCCGTCAGAAGAGCTTTATGCCGTCGACCATCGACGGCAACAGACGACGGGGGCGCGGCCGGGTCGGGACGGGTCGAGGCGTTTCGACCGTCCATCGTCTCCATCGGCGCTCCCGCGGTGCTTCAACTGCGGCATCCGGGGCCATGTCGCCTCGGGGTGCCGTTCTCCTCGACAGCGGGGGACGACGCCTCGACAGGACGCCGGCCCTCCTCTGCCTCCTCCCAAGCTCCAGCACCATGATCCGGCGAGTCGCGGCACCTCACATGTTTGGCCAACGCACCCACCTGTCGCACACTCTCGCACCGTAACGAACGGGGGGCCGGTGGGGCGCTGCGATGGACCGGCGCGGATCACTGCGGGGACTCAAATCGAGCCCGAGCGGTGGTCCGTGTTGGCCCATCGCGTGGTGGCCGCGGCGTCGGGATCGTCGGCCGTGGTCGGTTACATCGATGGGGTGGAGGTACGCATCATAGTCGATACAGGGGCATCGGCGACAATTATTTCGGAACTAATTTACAATATTCTACCGGTGCAGAGCCGTCCTTTGCTACCGGTTAATGTCCCTTTCTATGCCGCTAACGGGGGCTCTCTCGGCATCGTGGGACAGATTCGAGCGCAAATTTCTATCGGGGACATCAAATTGTCGGGGCCGATTTTTGTCTCCTCCTCACTGGCAGTTCCGTGCCTGCTGGGGACGGACTTCTTGGGCAGGATGCCAATTCGTATTTTGATCGACCAAGGATGCATTGAGCTTCCGTCGGGGCGACGTATGGCGTTCCTGCCTTCCCCTGTAGCGACTCGGACGGCGTTCGCGACGGTACCGGCGTTCGTCGTAAAAACAGTGCGTGTGCCGCCGGGGGCACAAATGCTGGTACCTCTTAAACTTCGTAGGCCCTTCGCTAAGGGTGTTGGGGATCAGGGTGTTGTACTGGGGCCGTCTAGGGCCGGGGTTAATGGGCCTCATTTAATTCCGGCCCAGACCATCGTAAGGGGGGACGAGGACCCCTTCATCGCGGTCCTCAATGTCGGGTCGCAGACAGTAGTGGTTCCCCAAGGGACTGTGCTCGCTCACGCGACGCCGGTGCCCTGCGAGGAACCTGCCGTGAACCACATTGACACTGCTGCTCGGACGCACCCGCATTCGGACGGCGATGAAGGGTGGCTCGACGCGCTTTGTGCGGGATCGACGAACCTGTCCAATTTAGAGCGCCAACGGCTTAGATCACTGCTAAAGGAATTTTCCGACGTTTTCAGTCGGAATAAATACGATTTGGGTTGTACTCACCTGCTGCGTCACCATATTGACACGGGTGACAGCGCGCCTATTCGCCAAAATCCTTTTCGGTTGAGTCCCGCCGAAAAGGACCATGTCAAATCGGCTGTCGATGACATGTTAGCCGCCGACATTATCTCTCCCTCTACCAGCCCTTGGGGAGCACCGATTGTCCTGGTTAAGAAACAGGATGGCTCGTTGCGGTTTTGCGTAGATTTCCGTCGCCTTAATAAGGTTTCGGTTGCCGACGCATACCCGCTCCCACGGATGGACGAATCGCTGGACGCCTTGGCGGGAGCGCGATTCTTCTCCACACTAGATTTACTTTCGGGATTCTGGCAGCTTCCTCTGGACGATGATTCGAAGCCTAAAACCGCTTTCCGTACACCGCACGGCCTGTTCCAATTCAACCGGTTACCGATGGGCTTACACTCAGCGCCGGCAACCTTCCAGCGGTTGATGGAATTGGTTTTGGCTGGATTGCAATGGGAATCGTGCCTGATTTATTTGGATGACGTAATTGTTTTTGGAAGAACCTTTGACGAACATCTCCAGAGGCTGCGGGCGGTTTTCCAAAGGATGCGGGCTGCTAATTTGAAATTTAAGCCCCAAAAATGCTATTTGTTTCGCGAGTCAGTGCGTTATTTGGGGCACATCGTGGGGCGCTCGGGTATTGCTACCGATCCCGCCAAAACGCAGTGTGTCAGCTCCTGGCCAATTCCGACCTCGGTGGGGGAGGTGAGGAGTTTTATTGGCTTCGCTTCATATTACCGACGGTTCGTCGCTAATTTTGCTACAATTGCCAAACCCCTACATGCTTTGACATCAAAAGGGGTTCGGTTCCACTGGGGTCGGGATGAGGAAGTAGCTTTCTGCTCCCTTCGGGATGCATTGGTGAAGGCTCCTCCTTTGACTTACCCCGATTTTTCGAGGCCGTTTTTGCTCGACACCGACGCGAGCAACACAGGTATCGGAGGCGTGCTTTCCCAGGTGGTTGATGGCGTGGAACGGGTGGTTGCGTACGGCAGTCGGGTGTTGTCTCCAGCGGAGCAAAAATATTGTGTCACCCGTAGAGAACTGTTGGCAATTGTTTTCTTCATCCAACAGTACCGCCCATATCTGTACGGTCAGCATTTCACTGTCCGTACGGATCATGCGGCACTGCAGTACGCCCTGAAGGTTCAACAGCCATCGGGACAATTGTCCCGATGGCTGGAGGTCCTCCAGGATTTCGATTTTGACACCACCTATCGTAAGGGCATTCGCCACACAAATGCGGACGCTCTGTCGCGCATGCCAACCACCTCCGAATGCGCATGCCTCCTGGGGTCGGGGCGTTGCAAGCCAGCTGGGGACATGACGGTTCCAGTCCTGGCGGCCGCCGCCGATGTTGACACATCGCTCCCCGATGAGATCGGGAAACAGGGAAGGGATTCCCTGCTTGGGTTGCCTGTGATTGAGTGGGGACGCCTCCAGATGGAGGACGCCTCCCTCCTCGCGCTGCGTCGTCGCGCCAGGGAGAGGGGGTGTGGGACGGGTGATGCCGACAATTGGGAAATACACGCGGGCTTGCTCATGCATTGGGACGGTAAATCCCACCGTCACCGGCTGGTAGTTCCTGCGGGGTTACGGGGTAAGGTGGTGTGGGCTGCTCATGAGCGCCTCCTCCACCTGGGTACCCAAAAGACCCTCGCCTCGCTCCAGCTGGATTTTTTTTGGCCGGGCATGACACGGGATGTCACGGATCTGCTGGCAGCATGCCCCCGGTGTGCGCAACGCAAACCACCAGCTCGGGAGTCGAACCCGCCGTTGCAGTCCATCACAGTCTCCAGGGTGAACGAACTCGTAGCGTTGGATATCCTGGGGCCGTTTCCCGCCACCCCTAGGGGCAATAGATATTTGCTAACAGGGGTCGAATACTTCACACGCTGGCCTATGGCCTGGCCCCTGGCAAATCAGTCGGCAGCAGCCATCGTGGACGCCTTTGTCCAAGGCTACGTCATGGACAAAGGTGCTCCGGAGCGGCTGCTGACCGACCAGGGTAAAAATTTTTCCGGGAACCTCCTCAAACAAGTCTGTGATCTCCTAGGTACAAAGAAGATTCGTACCTCTCCCTATCACCCACAAACTGACGGGATGGTCGAGCGTCTGCATCGTACCATCACGTCTATGTTGTCGCACCTGGTTTCGGAGTCACAGACCAATTGGGACTTGCAAATTCAAGGGGTCCTGGCAGCATATCGATTGGCCCCCCATGCTGCCACGGGATTTTCACCCTTCTTTCTCATGTATGGTCGCGAACATGACCCACCTGTTCGGGCACAGCTGCAGATCCCCGCGCCTCTAGGTAAAATAAAATTGGACGAGCACGTTAAATTTAACCTTCAAAAGCTAACTGAGGCGCGGGATGCTGCCATGCTCAATTCCCGCATGCGCCAAAAGGCGAATGAGCGCCTCAGACTCGCGCGCGCGCACGTGCTGCAGTGGAAGCCAGGGGACAGGGCATGGCTGCACTGTCCCCAGGTACCGCTTGCGACCTCCTCGAAACTGGTACGGCCATGGCGGGGCCCCGTCGAGGTGGTCGAGGTTTTGCGACCGCAGTGCGTTCGTATCAAGTGGGGGAGGCGCCGGTGGTTCGTTCACCCCTCTAGACTAAAACCCTTCGTTGCGGTGCGGGACTCTGCTCCACACGCGCAGGGCCAAGCATGTGAGGGGTCGACCGACCCGGAGGGTCCGCCTCTGTTGATCTCACCTGACGTCTTGCCGGTTGCCCCGCCCCCAGGTTCTCCCGGAATGACGGGCTCGCGCACATCCCTCACGGGGGATGCCGAGGGTCCCGCCACTCCAATTGCGGACTCGCCTCGGATGGGACAGCGGCCACCGAATGGTCCGCCATCTGAGGTTGGCCCTTGTGACGGGCCTGCGGCAAGGACGCGCGCTAAAATGCGCAGACTCTTATAAAAACACTGGAACGCGAACAAGAAGTGAAAACGAAACGAAAATAAGAAGAAAATTTATTTTTTTATTTTTTTTGCGTTTTCTGGTACACTTTCGTGTGCTATTGTTACTGGACGCTGCGTTCGTGTGGCGCTCTTGGCGCGTTGTTGTATTATGGCTGTGTGTGTGTGTGCGTCTTGTGTGCGTGTTGTGCGTGCGCTGAGGGTTCCGGGAAATGTACATATCTTGCCTCTACGGATTTCGTATTTATTCGGGGGGGGGGGCGCGTCGGTTTGTTCTCCCTTTAGGGGCATTGTTAGTGTTGTTGTTCAATTCTCGTTCTGTTAAATGAAAAAAATGGGGCACACACGGGGGGAGTCAAGGGGTAAAGATTCATTTGTTGAAATTGTTGCAGCCGGGACGGCTGCGAGCTATGCGGGGGGGAGTGATGTAGGGATGTTGGAGAGAGGGCCGTTATGCATGGCAGCCTATGGGAAAGAAACACAGTGGGCGGAGCTACGTGTGTGCACAGGGAGATGCCCTCTGCGACGTCCGAGCCAGACACCCTGGGGGGGGGCTGGTTCGGCGTTACGATCCCCCGGGGCCCCACCCCTCAAGGAGGGTTGGGTATAAAAAGGGGTCGTTATATGGGCTTAGTTAGTTATGTTATAGTTAAGCTAAGAAGTCGGAAGACGTCGTAGCTAGAGCCCTGGACTCCCCCTGATCGCCGCCCTTATCAGGGCCCCACGGGATCAGGCTCGAGCCAGTGGCGTGGTCCCGTGAACCAGAGCCAGTGCTCTGGGACTCCGGGTACCGAGCCCGATTACCAGTGTCGGGCCAGACAGCCTCCCCTAGCTCTTAGTGGAGGACTCAGGGGATAGGCTATGGATAGCTAGGGGTATTCCCTGAGTTATACGGGTGAGGGGGCCGCTACCCCCTCTAGGGCTGTCCTGTACTGGCAACTTGTTAAATAAATATACGTGTGCCTCAACTCCGTTGTCAAGCGTCCTCGACGGGTACTTCAATAGTATAGTAGTAGTATAGTTAGATGTCCCAGCTTATAGGAGGGCGCTTTGATAAAAAAATAAATCGTGATCATCATTCCATACCTGTGGGGAGTGGTAGTATTTTGGTGACGCGCTGGACCCGGCGGCCCGAATTTGAATCCCAATCAAAGCCAACATTATTGTCGAATGTCTGAATTGGTAATGGGCCTCCTCTAGGTTGACTCGGCCTTCTATGAGTACCTGGTGCGGTGTGTAAACATCACCACTGGGGAGACGAGGGGAGACGAAGGCAGCCGGGCGTGGAGTTGGCCACCCAACCCTGGTGTGCCATGCCGGCCTTCATCGGTACTACTCGCGAACAGCACTTGCCCCAACAGTTTGTTGCAGGCTATATGGGGGATCTTTGTTTTGTGCGTGTCTTTCTGTACGTGGTGCCCAGCTGGGGTGTGTGCCACTGGAGCTGCTGTGGCGTCTTCACGTAGCGGACGTCGTCCCCCTGCACCACTCCCTGGCCAGGTGGAGCGACTCCCCCCACACTGTATCCAACCCTCTGACTTCAGCATCCAATTTGGGATCATCGGTGCAATAATGCCCTGTCCTCGGCTCTGTTGTCAGCTTGAAGGTTTCCTCATTTTTAAGGAATCACGAGGGCGGGATAAAAAACACGCGACTCTTTGTGTTTTTGCGGTTTTGCACCGATCTCATTCTCATTGCCGGTAATTGGTGTAATGCAACCCCACCAGCTCGTGTGAGAGGGCCTCATTTCCGTTAAGAAGCATCAGTTTAATCAGCTGTTTATTATATTTATTGATTGCCAGTAGAGTGACCTTTGCTTTTATTCCCTCATACCCAGTAAGAGGGAAATTGCCAGCATGCCATTGGCCCTGTTAGCCAAAATCACCCATCAACGTTGATTTTTTTGGGTTGGGTCACGTAACCGTCTGGCCAAATTGCTACCTTAAAACCCTTTACCGCCCGACAGTCAAATAAAGTTGTTGTATGTCAAAAGCGTTTAACGCACCGATTATTCATTCAGCTCACCATAAGTGAGTTGACTAGTTGAACCATGCAAAGACAAGGGGGGGATTCCCAAGTGATTTAAGTTTTTATCGAGAAAAAGAAAGTTGGGTTTCTTGTAGTGACCAAGCACTTCTTGTTTCCATCCTTTGTCCCCTTTCATGTTGCAATGGGGTTCTCATCATATGCAAGAAAGTGCTAGGATTTGAATTGTGGTCATCTATAGCTGACGAGTAGCCGTGATGATCAAGGCACGATCCACCAACTCCACCTCCATGGTGGTGTGGCAGTGTCGTGTGCCGCCACCCGGCTTGGTATTTTGGTGCAGTGTAACACGAACACTCGTGCCTCACGCCAGGACGTGCCTGGGTTTGGTTCCTGACTAGGGCGCCTTTCTGAGTGGAGTTTGTATGTTGCATGGATGTCCTCCAGTCATCAGTTTCCTCCCATTGCTACAATAAACATACAATATAACCGTTATTGGCCAAACATCACAATGCTTTCAAGGGTTACTCGCAGATTTGCTCGGTTAGGATTGCACATAGCAACATCGTCCCCTGGACTGCGAAAACCTGGCAGGACATTCCTCAAAGAGAATATTACGACTCACTCGAGGCTTTCCTGGGTAAACGAATGAAAAATAAAATGAACGTGTACTTTTGAGCGGTGCTAATGAGGGTGCACGCACGTGTGTGTGTACGCGTGCGTGTGTCGAACCAGCTGGGGAGCAGTGGTGTCGCGGTTAGCCATGCTGTGCTGTGAGCCCAGCGACCCGAGTTTGATTCCCGCTCCCGGGCAACACCAGTGACGATTCTAGATTTGAAGCTTTCGTGACTGCAAGGATTCATACTCTTAGGTTTTTTCGGTAAAGTCACGTAGGTAAAAATAAATAATGAATAATAAAAATAACAGAAATAATAATAGAAATAAAATTATAAATCACGACGTTTCGGAGGCAACACAAGTCTCCGTCATCAGGTGGGACCGTCACAGCTAGATTTACTGTATCAAGTGAGGCAAAATTCCAAGAGACAAGCTCTTAAATACAAGTTAAGGGGGGAGGAGGGAGGGGGTTATTTGAATGTGGTAGCCAATGAATGGAACGTGTTGGGGGGGTGGGCGGGGCTGAAAGAGAAACGATTATCTGAACTGGTCCTTTGGTCTACTCCTAGGTGGACTTGGCCTCAAAAGAGTACCCAGTGCGATGTGTAAACATCGCCACTAGGGAGACAAAGGCAGATGGGCGCGGTGTTGGTCACCCACCCCCTCGTGCGCCATGCCACCCTTCATAGGTGCTGCTCGCTAACAGCACTTGTCCCAACAGTTTGTTAAAGGCTATACAGGGGATCTTTGTCTTTGTTTGGAGCCAGCTGGAGCGACGATGCAGCAGCCGTAGTGCGGAGCTGCGTGGCCTCCTCGCTGCTGGAGCTGCTGAGCGTCGTGCCCGGCGGCACTGAGAGCCCTCGGCGCGAGACGCTGCAAGGTGCGGACCCTTGGAGCGATGACGCGAGATTGCTTCCCCCTGATGATACGTTCCCCCTGTCTGCTACCTTAACAAACTCCCATAACGATCACTGCCAATTTATTTTGACGTTTTTTTCACTTGCCTTTACTTTTTAATAAGTAATTTGTCCAAAGTAATTTGTCTCAAGCAGCATTGGTTATACAGAATGTATTTGTTTGCTCTTCTTCTTGGTTCTTTCGGTAAAGTCACGTAGAAGGGAAGTAATAAAATAATAAAAATAAAACATAATAAAATAATTCTCACGACGTTTCGGCATACTATTAACATTCCCTCCCTTTATTAATGCTACCCCCTACCCCCTCCCTTTGATGCTTCTAATCCTGCATAATGCATGGGCATAATATGACTTTGAAACCCCCCCCCCGCCCACCTACGCATTTCCCATGAATATGCTAAATTCCTCTTGATATGCACATTCTTTTGTTAAGGCGCTCTTCTTCCACCTCCAACCCAGCTTATATTTAAGCTCCAAGCTTGGCAGTGTCTCATTCTTCACCTGAAGACGGCTGCTTGCGTTGTAGCCGAAACGTCGTGAGAATTATTTTATTATGTTTTATTTTTATTATTTTATTACTTCCCTTCTACGTGACTTTACCGAAAGAACCAAGAAGATGAATCCCTGCAGTCACGAAAGCTTTAAATCGAAATTGTTTGATCTTGTTTAACATTTACAATTCGAGTACGACGTTTTGCCGGTAATTACTCTGCAATGCACCAGTGTGCTGAAGTCGTTACTAATTAATTTTACAGGTATTAGTAGAGGTTGTCATGTAAACAGAAACCTGTATTATGGATGATATTGTTCGTGAAAGCCTACGTGTTCAACTAGTTACTAATTAGCACGTTCTGTTTACGTGACAACCCTTACTAATTGACTGTCAGGTGGTGGCAGATTTAACAACATGTTTATACTTAAGCCATCTAGCAAAACAAACCTTAATGATCTGTATTTGTTTTATTTTGTGAAACACCTTGCTTACAAACAGCACTGCTTAATAGCAGTGTAAGAGAAAACAACAGAAGTTTATGAATATTTAAGTTGGAGTCTTCATTGCTGTTATCACAATATTGACCAAATCAGACCGAAGAAGCTGCCAGGCGTTTTCCTGGTCGCTTTAAACGCAACCATTTCCTGTATCAACTAACACAGTGGCTTTATATTCTGAATCGTGTCACTAAGTACTTGGTTGTCAAAAGTGTGGATGGCTTTTCATGTCTTGTTGGCGAGGTTGAAGGCTCAAACACCAGAAGCTTCGTTGCATGAATCCAAAGATTAAAATCTGGTTTCAAATTCAACAATTGAATATCTAAAAATGTCGACTTTGTCCCCTACTGGCATCTGTAGCTGTTCCTTTCCTGTATTTGCTGTCACTTTCAAATAATGCTGTAAATTGTCCAACTGCTCCCCATGAGCTCATGTTTATGTTCTCCTTTGGTCAGTCTTCCATGCCGTAATGTGAGAAAAGTTTATTTTAAATTGCTGCTAAATGGTGAAAACATAGCAAACAAATTCATTGTATATATCCCTGTCCATCAGTTGTGGAAACCTGGATCTGAATGATTGGTAATAGCCTCCATGCAGACCACCTGATATTGTGAAACTTTCCCAGCTTTACAAAAGCAATTACTTTTTTCTTGATATAGTTTTTTTATGTTTCTACTTTTTGTTATTGAAAATTTGAAACTTGGTATTCTTAGAACGCAGCGATTCAATATCTCGCAGTATGGAACCAAACGATCGGCTGATTTTTAGCAGCGTCCGAGCGTATGTGCAGTGCACACAGAATATGAACAAGGGAGGCCCCTATGGCAACCCTGTTGTGTAATGTTGAGTTGTAATGTTGGTACAACTCTGTTGTAGATGCCGATGTTTACTTGGGCTTTATCTGTGCTACACCAATACTAGTTTTTTTTCTTCTATTCACCCCCTTATCCCGAAATGCCAAATAGGTTCACAATTCCAGTCACACTTTCTTGGACTGAGCATTTTGCATCTTGTCCGAATCAAACCAAGGAAGTCGGAAGAACATTCTCTGTTGTTCGAGACACTCATGACGCACACTCTGTTTTAGTTATATATCTAATCCATGAAAAAGAAGATCCCAGAATTCAGCTCATTTTAGGTTTTCTTGAAAGGCTGAATTAATTAATCACGTCTGTGATGATGTTAATAAGCCGTGCACTCCCTACATATCACCGTAATAAGCACTTGCGACGTTTACACCGAGCAGCTTTAAAAGTGCAATATCTTCGTAGTTTCGAATAGGACGTGCATGTTTGGAAAAAAACGTAAAAAATATTCTAAAGAGCTCGGAACTGTTCTATATTTGCTTTTTGTTGCCATTGGTCAGGTGGACGAATTGATCTTTCCTCTTGACTAAGATGTGCAGCCGACATGGTGTCAACAACTTGTACACGCTCAGCACTCTTTGTATTTTTCAAACATTGGACGACTGAAGTTTTTTTTGCACATTTATTATAAGCGCTTGTTTTATTCGCAAGATTTGGGTGTGAGCTCGACACGGTTTACACCACACGTCTGTCCGCTCGCGGTTAGTATCCAGCCATTGAACTTCATTGAGACGTTTTTAAGAATTCTTGTTTTTTTAATTAAACTCATAACTTTTTTGACATTTTCATTTGAGCCACGAACCTAAAATCGGAAGAAAAATTATCTATTGATGACAATCTGCTGTCATAACCTGTTTAACAGGAAAGGTCATTTTAATTATAGAACAAAATTATTGGTGTATTTAAATAGGCCTAAAATTATTCACAACTTTCACTCTTTTTATTAAGTCTAAAATCCAAAGATTTGTACGTTTTCAGATTTCGACAGGATCATCTTCACCTATCATTCGGAATATTGGAACATTCGGCAAGGCCAGAGCCCCATATGTTTCGAATTAACAAATTGTAAAATAGTAATAGTTGCTTTCTGGTCGTGGGTGTGCGCGGTGCACAACGCTCGCTAACGAGAGCGGTTGTGGTGGGGTCCCTGATGTCCACCGAGCCCAGGGTGAGTTGGGCTCCTCCCCCACAGGAATTCCCACGTTGCTCCTGGGTGGTTGGGGTTTGAATTGTGGACACCACTCAAGCCGGCTCGGTGACGTTCAAAGGTTTTACACATTTGAACGCATTGGCAGTACACCGGTGGGTGCGCGGTATGAAAATTAAAAGTAAAAAAATTCCGCAATAATGATTTATTTTCCCATAATTCGCAACCCCCAGTCAGAAAATATTGCGGGGGTGGTGGTGATGGTGCATCAAAATCAACTCTCGTGATGTCAAAGCGGTCGGAAGACGAACATTATATGAGCAACTGAACACAAAGCTTCATAATATTCATAATATAGGTTTTTGGGTCAGATCGCGTTATTTATAAATGTGTCGTAACCCTCCACCACCCGACACGGCCAATCAGTAAAAAATGTGTCACGTTTTCAAAGAACAAATTAATTGACTACTTTAGCCCACCGGTGTGTTAAAGAGCGAATCAACAGCATTTTAAAATTTGAGTAGTACGACGTTTTGCTGATAATTACAATCAGCTTCATCGGGCATGAATGGTGAGGCTCTCCTGTTGCTTCCGGTCTTAAATAGAGCAGCATCAGGGTGACGTCATCATTTAATTCAACTCAATCTGGTGCAGTGATTCGAGGCAAGGAGGGGGAGGGTATTGTAATTATATAGATTGGTAATCATTCAATTGTTATTCATTGGTATTTGTTTCCCTTATAAGGAATTGTAATTGTATTTATTTGATAATACGCTTCCAGGCCGCACTAAAGCTCCAGTCTTTTGCCGTATAGCAGCACCCAGCCTGATGACGATTGGCTGGCTCCGTGTTCCAAACGCAGATTTGACTCGTGCCCTAGACTTGGTCTGACGGTTCCTCGATTCTATGGACCCAAATCAACGGTCAATATTGACCTCTTTTAGCAAGTCTCAGTCGACTGAATAAACCTTCGAATCATGTCATACTTGGTGACAGGGTCAATTAATGAACCTAGACTGAACGCCGTGCGCTCACAACCCCTCGCCCCGCACTTACACTCGCACAGCTCTGCTGCAGAGGACCGCTCCGTGGTGTAACATTGAGTGGTGTGGTTTCCTGTGCCCGTGTGCGATCTGTGCTGAGCAGGGCTGGTGGTCGAACTGGTCCGGGTTGCGTATGGAGATGCCGGCCAGGAGACAGGTCAACAGGTCAGTGAGCGCTCTGCCCACCCTGCCGACGGGGGCAGCGTGGGCCTCCTGCTTGCGCCGGACTCGCGCTGACCATGGCTCGTTGGGAGATGCGGGGCTTGCTTGAGTGGCGGCGGTGGGAGTGACTTGTGAATCTGGTGTTGGAGAATGGAGATTTTATTTTGCTCTTGGGATATAGCAGCCGTGGCCAGGTCAAGATGCTTTGGCTCTCTGCAGCAAGAGGGACTGGTTGTTCTGTGGAGCCAGTCACACTACGGGATGGCCCACTCACTACACCACAATTATAAACACGTACATCGACAGCCCCTTTTGTTAATTCGCTGCTGGATATGGGCAATGGCGGAGCCAGGATTTTCAGGTAGGGGGGGCTACCCCTCCAGCAATGAAAAATGATAGAGGAGTTGTTAGTAAGTAAGGACTTGTCCCTTGCTTTTTATTCGAACTGTGTGTGATCGGCATCACGCTCGCTGAAGGTGAATGCCTTCAGGGAAGCCATGTACTGTATACGCAACTGCACACAATTATGTGAGTCGCTTATAACCGCTTTGCCGTTACTTATTGCCAATGATGGACTCAGACTATTGTCCTATCATCTCATAGAGTCCCTGGCACCTAATAATATGCTACACAGTGGCAGTGGGGGTCGTAAAATGCCGATTTATTCATATTTAAACCCCAATGATCCGATCGAAATTAGGGATTTCGATCGGATAATTGGGGGGGCACGTGCCACCCCACTGCCTCCCCACTGGCTCTGCCAGTGGATGTGGGCTTTGGGCTGTGGGAGTTGTTTGAACATACTTCACTTCGTCGGTCAGTTTGCAAAGAGAAGAGTGAAAGTGCTGTTTGTGATGACTTCATGAGGCCAGAATGGTGCACGACGGCTTGGTGTCGCCAACACCACATCTGGCCGCTTTTGTCTCCCTATTGCAGAAGTTCACACACACGGCTCCATGTACTCGATTTTAAAGCTTAGGCTATGTAGGCAGGGTCCTGGGACTGGTTCTGATATCACTCACAACTGGTGTTACCCGTGGCCTGGAATAGAACGCATGTCACTCGCCACACTGAATCTAAACAACACCGGCTAAAACTCCTATTTCCTTTAAATCTCGACATTTCATAGCACTGATCATATTTAACATCCATCGGAGCCACAGACAGTTTTTCTTGATTGCCGTAAAGTCGGTGAGCTGGTTTTTCCTTCCTGCTTTAATTTCTCATAGGGTTCTTAAGTGCAATGTAGCCTCTGCTTACCCTAAGCACTAAAATGTCTTAAGTGTCTCACTGGCTAGTCTCTCCATGGAAGAACTCCTGATTCCTTTTAAAGGTGGTACTCATTTTTATCGACCCTGGTTGGGAGTTGATCTACCCTGCTCAGTGTAGCTGGTCCGCCCTGTCCCCTCTCCCATCGTGAATCCTTTTAAAGTGGGGGACAGGTTGGTTAAATAGCAACAACAACGATACAACTTATAAAGTTTGGAGACGATGAGTAGTGACTCTGTGTTCTGTCCTCCGAAGAAGTGGGGCCACGCCACAACAGATGGGCACCAGAGGTTTGTGAAACGGCAAAAGTTTATTTCAAAAGTCCTCTTCAGAAGGGCAATTGTTTGTATCTGCCATAGTGATCAGAGACCCCCTCCTTGTCACAACATCGCAGTTCAATTTCTCATGTCGAAATCCACCAAAATCTCTATTGGCGACATGCCCCGTACTCTAATGAGCACTTGGGGGCTCTGGGTCCAATCCCTGATCACTGTTGCATTCACTTAGAATTATAATAAAAACGCACCTGGTTCTGCGTAGCAACTATCAGAGTGCACAATTATACGTGTGATTCATCGAAGGCGAGCTCACACCGGCTACATCAGTAACACAACAACAGTCTCTCATCTATGGTGGCAAGCCTTGCTAGAGTCTGAAGACTCATTTCATGAGGGTCCTGTTTGGTCAGTTGACGAGTGTGGGAGGAAATTGGGAGAATGGTGGTGCAGTGGGGGGGTAACCTTTGTAACACGAACACTCGTGCCTCACGCCAGGAGGTACCTGGGTTCGATTCCTGACCAGGGTGCCTGCCTTTTGTCCATGTTCTGCATGAATGTCCCAAAGTCTCCAGTTTACTCCCATTACTAAAACAAAATGCAATGTAACCGATATTTCATGGGGCCTCCCTTGCCAGTATCAAAATATAAGAATGGGGTTTACCCTTTCTGGCAATAAAACAGGTGTTGGGATGTTAAGACACCAAACTGAAACCTTTTTCAAGGAATCATGTCTGCATTGAACTACGTATAATTGTGGTGAACATGCAAGAAAAAACATGTTCTGCATTGTCTTTGAAACTGATTGGTCCACACCAGAGACATGATTTCTTGCAAAAGTTTTCAGTTTGGTGTTTTAACATCTTAACACCTTTTTTATTGACAGAAAAAGTAAATCCTCTTATGTGTGTAATGGGTTCAACTGAGTCGCAGAAGTTGACTTGGAGGCAACACATTTATTCAGTTCCAACACACGGGGTAACTTTCCCCTGAACAGAATAACAACCTATGGTGGTGACCACCAGGCTAACAACACTAGTTACAACGTAACTGGTGTAGTTAGCCAGGTGGTGACCACCAGGCTAGCTACACTGGTTACCACGTAACTGGTGTAGTTAGTTAGGTGGTGACCACCCGGCTAACTACACTAGTTACAACGCAACTGCTACTACGGACCGGGACCAACAGCTTCGGCCCGCGTCCACATCTTGGAGACTCGTTGAACGGAGAACGTAGACGAAGGTTTCTTCCAGGATGAACAACCACCCCTCTCGGGACCCGGCTCATAGTCTCTGTTGCGTGGCCGGCTCCGCCCTTGGCCTCGTCCACCTTCCAGAATCCTCGGGAAGGATCTGGGTCCTAATCACGTCACCCCCCCTAGCCCCCACTTGGGGCCCCTTTGTAAGACTTAACCGGTCACGTGTCCTCCCGGGTCAACCAGAGTGCCATGGCCTCACACAACCTCATCCTTTGGTCGGCACCCACACACCCTGTCCTGTAGGGTCGGTACTACACCCCAATATCAGTTACATATGTAACTGATATTGGCCAAGCATCACAATTCTTTGGGGTTTGCAGATTTTTCTCTATTAGGATTGCATGTGGCGATATCGCCCCCCCCCCCCCAATTGCGAAAACTTGGTGGAACCGGACTAAAGAAATCTTAACATGTGGTGAGACTTTTCTTAAAACATGGCCACATGGTAAAGATACACTTAATGATTTTCTGAATCATCTCAATGCACAAAACCCGGCCATCCAGTTCACCATGGAAATGGAGGTGAATAACACACTCCCATTCCTGTATATTTTGCTTGGACATGGTCTAAATGGCAAAATAACATTCAGCGTTTACCAAAAGCGAACGCACACCGATGCCTATCTGAATACAGATTCACATCACCCAGCTCAGAAATCCTCTCTTATCAAGACACTCATACATCGGGCTAAAACAGTGTCAGATGGTGAAAGTCTAGTGAGAGAAATTAAATATGTTAAGGAAGCACTACGACATAATGGCTACAATAATGCTCAATTAACAGCATTGAATGCCAAATCACGAACGCAAAGCAACACTGCTGAAAGTGATCAGATTGTTACAACAATTAAAATACCATATATCTTAGGAGTAACTGACAAATTAGCCTGTGTTTTGCAAAAGCAAAATATTAAAGTAAAATTTGGTACAGTACACAAAATTAAAAAACTAGTATCTTGCACTAAAGACGAATTGCCTAAATTACTAACAAGGTGTATATCGGATTAATTGTTTATGTGGCAGATGCTATATTGGTCAGATGGGACGTAACATCAGCGTGAGACTAAAAGAACACCAAAGAAATAGTAAATGATCTCAAACACAACTGTCGGCAGTGGCAGAACATTCTTGTCAACAAGGACACTCAATTGATTTTGATAACGTTGAAGTGTTGTGTAAAACTAATTATTACTGGCCAAGACTAATTAGAGAATCCATTGAAATTGAGAGAAATAGAAATAACTTTAATCGCTCTGACAGCTACAGGCTTCGTGCGGCCTGGAAGCGTATTATTAAATAAAATATGTATTACAATTACAATTCCTTATAGGGGAAACATATACTAATTAATAACAATTGACTAATTATCAATTTATTATATAATTACAATACCCTCCCCGCCTCAAATCACTGCACCTGAATGAGTTAAATGATGACGTCACCCTGCTGCTGCTCTATTTAAGACCGGGAGCAAGTGGAGGACTTCACCATTCTGGAAAATTGCCCGATGATGCTGGATGTAATTACCAGCGAAACGTCGTTGTCAAAAATTGTAAAGGATGTTGAATCACTCTTCAACACACCGGTGGGCTGAAGTGAACTATTTGTCTTTTGTCGACGTGACACTTTTTTACTGTTTGGCCGTGTTGGGTGGTGAAGGGTTACGACACATTTATAAATAACGCGATCTAACTCAAAAACGTTTATTATGAAGCGTAATAATAATAAAACACTGCAGCGGTTTTAGTAAAATTACAGATCATCAGCCCAGTACAGCTACACTATTTGTCAACTGTTTACGGCTTCACTCTGTTTAAGCATTAATGGTCCAGCACAGTCCAGATTCCCTGTTTCTGCTTGAGAGTATGCCTATTTGTAAATTGTGTGACCATCTAATAAACAGGAATAAGACTCATGAATACAATATAACGTGATCTAACCACCGACAGTAATCTCCATGAGTTGCGTCGACGTTTTGCGTGATACCATCGCGACTTATGCTCGAATTCTGCACTGCGTCCACAGGTTTGCGTTCAGATACTGGATCTACTCTTACACGGTGAGTACAGCAGAGTGACAGACCTGTCTTTGATGGGGACTCGAGACAACAGACAGACTGGTTTCTGGGGTCCTTGGACAATAGACAAACAGACCAGTTTCTATTGGGTCTCTAGACCATAGACAGACAGACTGCTCTCCGATAGATTCTTTACGGGTTTCACGACGGTGACGGCCTGGCAGCCGCAGTCCCCTGGAAGTCTGCAGCGGTGCCGGCGCCGTGAGATGGGCATCACCCTCACAGCGTCTCTGTGCCCGGCAGGCTGCACGGCGGAGCTCGTGAGCGGCGCGCCACCGCCGGCCCCGGCTCGACGCCTTCCCAGGTGAGTGCCGCGACAGGGAAAGAAAAAAGACTTCCCCCCCCCCGCACCCCCCGCACCCCCCGAGCCCCCCACCCCCCCCGCCCCGCCCCCCGCTTGGGGTGGTTGAAGCACTCACCAATTCACTCCAGTCACTCATCAGTGATCAGTCGCCTCCTTGTCACAATTGTATTGCTACTGCCATGTAACTTCCCTTCTTGATTCCTTCACTCAGTCTGCCAGACACTGATTATTTAATCTTGTCCAAACTGTTCAACCAACACACTGCAGGTCACAATCGTCTCTTTTCCCCACGTTAGAATGATAAACTTGATAGGAAGGACTGATGCGGATAATTCAAAATCGAGGATAATAAAAAATATATACATTTTCCGTGGATTTCTATGCAAAAAATCACTAATATAGATATAAATTATGTTTAAGTTAAGAAAATGTTGTTTGTTAATGAATAAAGAAAATTGTAGTAAAGAATGCATTGATCTTGTTTGATTACAAAAGGTGATGTGTGTGCTCAGTGATAACACTTTCCCTGCTCCCGCGCAAAAGACTCGGCCCACTAAGTGGATGATAGCAGAGCCACGCCAATCAACATCAATCAAATTCCACCCACTGTTGTAAAGATATGCAACTACTCTACTGTGGAGGCGATTACGTGGATTTCGTATTAACCAGAGTGGATATTTGTTCTATTTAAGCACGTGGCTTGTTATTAACATTTCTTATAATAACAATGTATTACTGTTTTTAGATGGATGATTAATTTGGGCTTAAGGGAAAAATCCATGAGTTATTAATTTATATAAAATTCTCGGGTGCCGTTTAAACCCGCAAATCGGATAAACGGTACACGAATAATCGAAAGTTTACTATATGTAGTAGTTTCTGTTTTGAGTGTCTGTGGGTGGTTGTGTATGAGTGATTGTGAGTTGTATTTGAGTGGTTGTCTAGCAGTAAATGTGATAGTTTGTCTATGAGAGGTTGGTCATGAAAAGTTCATCATGAGTAGTTGCCAGTAAGGGCTTTATGGGGAACGGTAGTTTAGCAGTGAGCATGCTGCCACCCGAGTTGGATTCCCGCTCACTACCAGCACCAGTGACAATTATCTGACATGGTCCTTTGGCCTACTCCTAGGTGGACTTGGCCTCAAATGAGAGCCTGGTACAGTGTGTAAATATCGCTGCTTGGGATACAAAGGTGGCCGGGCGTGGTGCTCGCCACCCACCCCCTCCTGTGCTGTGCCGGCCTTCATACGTACTCACAGCAACTGCGTCAAAAGTCTTTTGAGGCTATAATGGGGAATTTGATCTTTGTCTGAGAGAGAGATTCTGTCTGTGTGAGGTCGCCTTTGAGAGATTGTCTATGAGTGTTCATCTCTGCTCCCTGCCGCTCACTGCCGTGTGTCCTGTGTGTCCAGGCTGAACCCCTGGGAGCTCGTCGCCCTGAGTCCTTCCGTGCCTCTCCCCGCACTGCGTGCGTTCTGCTCGCACCACCTCTCTCTCCTCCTCAGCCACGACCCCCGGCTCAAAGGTTCTATGTGCACCGGGCTTCGTGTGGATGTTCACGGCACGCTGCAAGCGGGTTCACCGAGTGACCGCTCACCGTAGTTATAATAATCTTCATCGTCGTCGTTTGTAGGGCGCCTTTCGTGCCACAAAGATTAAGGCCACATCACCCAAGTTAAGATGATTAAACAAATATTTACAAAGACAAAAAGAATACTCGTAGAATGATTACATTACATAAAGAGAAGGGAAACATTTAATTAAATTGTTAAATAATCAAAAGATGCCAGCGTCAAATCAGAAGGCTACAACAAACAAATAGGTCTTGAGCTTTGATGTTAAATGTAGCCACCTCATTCGGCGTACGTCGATGAGGTCGATCACGGTTGTGAGTATCGTTTTTTTATGCCTGATAAAAAGCACCGCTAAGACGCTGGTCACCGTTTTGCCACGCCTTTAGAAACGTCTCACAATAAACACAACGCGTCCACCCATGTTAACCGAGAAATGATGGAGCTGCGATGGTGTAATGGTCAGCAACATTGGACTTGCAAAAATCCAGAAGTCACCGGTTCAATTCCATCCTTTGGTGCGGGATTTTCTTTAATCCCTCCCACAGTCACGATTGACAGGTTGCGTGCGGTGGGGTCAAGTGTGGGTATGCCCCCACCCCTTCCGAGACGTCTCAGAATGACAATATTTATTAATACTGGAGGCATCCGATGAGCTTGAAGCTCTTTTTCACAGCTATCCAGTAGGGGCGGGTAAGAACGTTACAACAAACAATACAAAAACACGATAGTAGTACAAAGTACAAGAAAGATAAACAAATTACTGAAAACATATAAATTAAACTAAACCATCCCCATCCTACCAGGCAAAGCCCACTGAGGTATCCACTTATTTTTTAGAAGCGACCTGGCCACAAATAATAGCTCAACAAAGTGGCTTATCATCCATGCATAACAGCGTCACGACCGTAGCAACTACCACCCGTAATAAGGCTTGGCCATATACATGAAGAACACCATCACAGAGTTGTATGCCTTCCCACCAACTGAAAAAGAAGCCACCTACACCTCCAGCATCAAGATAGGAGAGCTGCATTTAACTGACGTGTACAGTGCCCCTAATTCAAAGTGGCCAAGGCCAGCACTCCCAAGTGCATCAATCCCAGCATACTCTGTGGGGCTATGCAGTAGTAGATCAGGCCGACGGCAAAGACCTCACCGACTGGATTTCCGCCGATGATCTGCACCTGGTTTTCGATCCCAAGCAGCAAGCAACCTTCCACTTTGCTCGCTGACAATGCGACTACAACCCTGACATGACCACCATCGTTTCCAAAGATCAAAGTGGGTGCACACTTCACACGTTCTGCAAAATACTCCCAAGCTTCCCCAGAAGTCAACATAGGCCCATCAGTCATTGCTCATATTGGCATTGAAATCCTCGTGATTGTGTCAACGATTACCAAGGTGCAACCTGGTCAAAGCCGACTGGGACCACTATAAGGAGACGGTAGACAGTGGAGAGTCGATCTCCCACAATACCAGAATGCTATCACCGTTTATTTGCTTCCTTGCTGCAGCCGCCACGAAGAGCATTCCCGAGGCTTCTGGAAAGAATCCACTTACTCCCCGTGACAAAAGAGACCCAGGACTTGCTCCGACAGTACAACCAATCAGGCAGCCCACAGGTTGGAAAGCCTTTAGACTCAGCCAGACACCAGCAGTGGATTGAATTATTTGAAGGCCTGGACTTCACAAACACAAGCCACCATGCATGGGCTCTAGTATGATGCCTGAGTGCTGCTAAACCAACAGAATACTGGACTGCAAAAGTCCTGCCAAACTCAATAGCCTCCAATCTAGTGGAGTACACAAAAGGACAGCTCAAGAAAAACATCACGTGAGAGATCCATTGCCAATAAACCAGACAATGGCCTCTATTTCTTCGTAATACTCCACCACCATCAGCACAGAGGAAGCGAGGGAGGGTCTGGGTGCAATGAAGAAAGGCAAGGCTGTCAGCCGAGATGCGATCCCCCCCACAATTCCTCCATCCCTTAGACACTAGGGGACTCCAATGGCTGGCAAAACTGTATACAAAAACCATGAAAACCGGATGCATCCCAAAAGCATGGCGGGAGGCGATGGTCATTACCATACCTAAACACAGCAAGTCAACCAACTACCCAGGAAGCTATAGACCGATATCACTCATGTGCATGACCTATAAACTCCTGGAATGCATCATCCTCAGAGAATCAGCTCCCTCATTGAGTCGGTGATCCTTGAAAAACAAGCGGGATTCTGGCCTGGATGCAGCTGCTGTGACCAAGTTTTGGCCCTTGCGACACACATCGAGGCTGGATTCCGGAAGAAATCCAAGACCGGCGCAGCCTTTGTTGACTTATCATTGGCCTACGGCACAGTCTGGATTAAGGGCTTGATGTTGAAGCTCGCAAAGACCATTCCCTGCCTCAAAACAATAATCCTGATATAGATGATGCTGAGCAATAGGCGACTGCGTGTCTATATGGGCAACAAATAACAGCTCACCCCGGTTCCTCAACAATGGATTGCCACAAGGTTCAGTACTCGCGTCATCGATCTTCAACGTCTACACAAGTGACATGCCACCAACTGGGTCATGCAAATTTGTTTATGCGGATGACCGTGCCCTGGCAACGCAAGCAGCCACTTTCAACAACATCGGATCCACTCTGAACCAAGATCTAACCACCATGGGGGAATATTTCCAGAAATTGAGACTCAAGCCAAATCCCCACAAAAAAACAGTCACAGGATTTAATCTTGACAATAGGCAGCACCAAGCACACTCTGAAAGGGACCTGCGGCAATACTGTGCGACACGACCTCACTCCAACCTATTTCAGAGTGAAGCTAGACCATATGCGAACCTTCCACGACTACCTGAAAAGGTAGCTGTCAAGACCAAAACAAGGGTCACCTGGTTCAGAAACTGGCAAGCACAAGCTGGGTGGGGAGCCTACGGATATCAATGAGGGCACCTTTTGTGCTCTGTAGCCGAGTACTGTGGTCACACGCGACTTGTTCATGTCCAAGCTGAACACTGCAATGCGGTGTAATACAGGAACCCTCAAGTCGACCCCAACACTCTGGCTGCCCGTGCTGTCACAAATCTCCCCCCACTGCAACGCTGCAACCCTCCAGGAAGTTCTACAAATCGAGGAAAACGGTTGTCTTCCAATTAATCAGGACCTCCATAACGTCCCTCGTCATCGCTTGAAGTCACGTAAGCCCTTTTGGACCCATCAGCTTCAACAATCTGAGTTTAACCCCGATGAAGCTTGGAGAGCTGAATGGAGTTCAAAGAAGTCGCAGACAGACACCTTGTGAAAGACCCAACGCAGGTGATCTCTGGGTTTGATCTTCCACGAACCTCATGGTCTACCCTAAACCACATGCACTGCACAAACCATGGCAGATGCAGATACCTGATGCACAAATGGAAAGTGAAAAACTCTTCAGTCTACGACTGTGGTCATCCAGAACAGACCATTCAACATATAAAGATGCAATGCCCGATCCACAAATACGAAGGAGACAATACAGCGATACTCTCCGCTCACTCCTGACGTGGATATCTGGTTTAACCACCTGGACATGAAATTGTAGCTGTTGCTCTGCATCTATATCACCCATACGAAGGAAGAAGTCAATGCACACTCATCCACACACGGGGGAAACGCACCAATTGCCGAGTGTGTGCATGTGTTTTTGGCTTTGCTGGGTGTGCACATTATCATGACTCTGTGTATGGTTGGTTGACTGTGTGTGCGTGGTTGACTGCGTGCGTGGTTAACTGTATGTGTGTGGTTGGCTGTGTGTGTGCATGGTTGGCTCTGTGTGTGCGTGGTTGACTGTGTATGTGTGTGGTTGACTGTATGGTTGGTTGATGGTGTGTGTGTGGTTGACTGTATGTGTGCGTGGTTGGCTGTGTGTGTGCGTGGTTGGCTCTGTGTGTGCGTGGTTGACTGTGTATGTGTGTGGTTGGCTGTATGGTTGGTTGATGGTGTGTGCGTGGTTGACTGTGTATGTGTGGTTGACTGTATGGTTGGTTGATGGTATGTGTGTGGTTGGCTGTATTTCGTGCGCTCTGTGTGCAGTTGCCGACGCTGTGTCTCGGCAGGCAGAGTGGAGCTTTGCAAAGATGCCGCCGTTTCTTTTTGATATTTATAGACAGGTAAGTGTGAACGTTTATTCATCGGTCATTCTTCATTCAACCTCTAACATGCTTTTGCACCGAGCCATCCATACCGCAAATAGATATAATTTGCCTCGGTGTGGAGCCTCGAATGGTTTGGGTTCGATTCCTGTCTCGGGCTACTTTCTATATGGAATTTATATGTTCTCCTCCTGTTCTGCCTGGGTTTCTTCTGGGTTCTCCGATTTCTTCCTGTAACTTAAAAAAAACACATTTTAAACATCCTATGACTGACAAATTACTTAATTGGCATTACACACAGCAGCAACCTTGCCCCTCTACTGTGAAAGTTTTGTAGGACTCTCCTGAAAATAAGTCTTGAGGCTCAGTGAGGTTTTCAGAATATCAGATTCAGAATATGTATTTATTTCTACTGGAGGAATCTGATGAGCTATAAAGCTCTTTTTCACAGATATCCAGTAAGGGGTCGGGTCAGAACCTTATGTTTCCTGGATTAAGCATCGCAATAATAACTCGTCAACTGTTGACGGAACCGGAAATGGTTTTGGAAGCAGCACCGAGTTGTGAGGACACGGGAAGACCCGGACTGCTGTAGCGATGCGTCTCCTTCACGTGTCCTTCACGTGTCCTTCACGTGTCCACAATAGAGGTTTTTTGGGTTAGATTGCGTCAATATAAATGTGTCGGTAAACCCCTCACCACCTAACACAGCCAAATAGTGAGGTTTGTCACGTAAACAAAACATGCCAATTAATTACTTGTCCAGCGCACCAGTTGTGTGTTAGAGAGTAAACTCACAAAATTGACCATTCGAGTACGACATTTCACCGGTAATTACATCCGGCCTCATCAGGCAACAGCCAGAATGATGGATTAATCCTCCTCCTTCGGTCTTAAACAGAGGGGTAAATGTGATGTCACTGTGAGCCAATCAGACAAAATCCTCCTTCACGTGCAGTTGTATGTGTGGAAGGAAAAAAATAATTTCCTCAGAGAAAACCGAATCGTGTGTGGAGTACAAACAATCCTCACAAATTGGTCACCAACCCACTTTCTGTACTGTCCTCAATGGCGACTTAGCATCTCTTGTACATGACCTCGGTACAATCCAACAACGCTGTCTCCACGTCACTGGGTTACAGGCATTCATTACCTCCACACCCAGTCTCTCTGTGTGTGTCTTTGTTCTATGACCGTGTCTCCCTCGCTGTATGCCAGCAGGTTTTGTCTGTCCTTGTGCGTACGTTTGTCTATAAGTCTGTGTGTGTCAGTCAGTCGGTCTGTCTTGCATGTTTATCATTTCATCATGCCTGTCTGCTTGTCTGCCTGTGTGTCCCTATGTCTTATGTCCAATCTGTCTACTCGTCTGCATGGCTGTCTCTCGGCCGCTACGTGTTTTGGTTATACCTGTCTCTGTCTCTGCCTTTCTGCTTGCCTCTTAATGTGTCTCTTAGCCAGTCTGCGTGTTTCTGCCATGAATATCTCACTATGCTGCATGCTGTGCTGTGACTTTGGGGAGCGGTAGTGTATTGGTTAGCGCGCTGCGCTACAAACCCGGCGACCTGAGTTTGATTCCCGCCCACGGCCAACACCAGTGATGATTATCTGAACTGGTCATGGGCTGCTCCTAGGTCGACTCGGCCTCGAATGAGTACCTGATGTAGTGTGTAAACATCACCACTGGGGAGACAAAGGCGGTCGGGCGTGGTGCTGGCCACCCACCCCCTCGTGTGCCATTCTGGTCTTCATAGATGCTCGCGAACAGCACTTGCCCCAACAGTCTTTCCAGAATATGGGGGGGGATCTTTGTCTTTGCTCTGACTGTGCTGTGACTCCGCTATAACCGTTGTGCGGCTGCGTGCTGTTCCTGTGCTCCCATAGCTGATGCTGCCGTTCGGTGTGGAGGAGCTGATATCTCAGTTTGAGAGCATCCTGGGCACACAGGAGTTGAACTGGCCGGCCGTGCTGTCCTGCGTCTCCGCACTGCTCGCGTGCTTCCCAAAGGCCCACATCCTGCTGCAAGGCACGCACACCTATTTGTTTTTTATTTTCTGTGTACATCTGCGTCTGTGTTTATCTTGTTGTCTGTATGAGTTTGTGTTCATGTCTTGTTGCGTGTGAGTGTGTCTTGTTGTTTGTGTGAGTGTGTGCATGTGTCTTGTGGTGGAAAGCGGGAGTGTAGCGGTGAGCGCGCTGCGCTATGAACCCGGCGACCCGAGTCCGATGCCCGCTCGCGGCCAACACCAGTGACGATTATCTGAACTAGTTCTGGGCCTCCCCAAGGCCGACTCGGCCTCAAATGAGTACCTGATACGGTGTCTAAACATCGCCACTAGGGAGACAAAGGCAGCCGGGCGTGGTGCTGGCCACCCGCCCGCTTGTGTGCCATTCCAGCCTTCATAGGCGCTCGCTAACAGCCTTTGCCGCAACAGACTGTTAAGGCTTTAAGGGATTCTTTGTCTTTCTCTTTTTGTGTCTTGTTGTCTGTGCCTCTATGGCTGGCTGGCAATTTGTCTTTCTGGACGTTTTTGTAATTATAATTTTATCTGTTTTGTTAGCTGTGTGTGTATCTGCGTGCGTGTTCGTCTTCTTCAGCTGGCAAAACAACCCCCACCTCTGTTCCTGCCGGTTGGTGACGCTGTGGTGGCTGTGAGCAATGCCACGGGGGGGGGGGGGGGGGGGATATAAATCGTCCATTCCCCTCGTGGTGCTCGCAGTCGCCACAGTGGCCAACGGGGGCTCTGGAAGGGTGTGAGGGGGGGCTGGTGACCCCTCCACATTCAAACTAAGTTACCAAAAAAACGTCCAGAAAAGATCACACTAAGCTCGTGCTGGAGGCTTCGGGGGTGGGGGAGAGGCGTCTCTGACGTCTCCTGGTCAAACCCCATTTGGTACAGCCAGGAGACTGAACCCTGAACCTCAAAATTCTGGGTCATATCGCCTTCTTGCCCAGCCTGTGTGTTTCTGTGTGTTTTGTAATTGTGTGAGAGACACCTGTACAGGGCACAATGTCAAGCGGGGTTGACTTGTCTGGCTGTGTGTGTATCTTCCTGTTCGGTTCTTTTAGCGTCGTTGTCTATGTGTGGCCATATGTTTCGGCCACCTGTCTGGCTTTATCCCTGTGTCTTTTGTCTGTGAGCCTGCGGAGTCTCTGTGCACCTCCTGATTGATTTAACCACTGTCGTCATCGCATGCACCAGCCACAATAATAAAAAAATAATTCGTGAATTACATTTGCCTTCATAGGGAAAAATCTGGGGTGACATTTTGGGAATTGCCCTCCTTCGTAAGCACACCCTTCGACGTGTAGCTATGAGGAAGGTTCATTGCCCCAAAGCATCAGCGACTACAGTAGGGGTAGTGGGGGTAGAGAACAAACACGCTGGTCACCCCCACCCTTGACCGAGTGCAGTGCTGGACAGAGGCGTAGCTAGGGGGGGGCAGGGGGGTACATATGTCCCCGGGCGCCAAGGTAAAGGGGCGCCAAAATGAGGCTTACAACGTTACATTATAACTTATTGCGGCGGGCGCGGCAGCCTGAAACTACTGCACAAATCTACACCTCAACCTAAAAGTTTATATCAAGTTCAAGTTCATTTATTAGGTATAGCCCTGTGAGCCATTCGGCTTTTGAATCGGGTGCAACCGCAACAAACAAAAAACAAAAACATGAACAAAAAACATCTTAAAGTGAATATATCCCGCCACAAACAGCCTACATGTCATGTTATTACATTTTGGTACGCGCGCCTATTAAGAACTTACATGGAAGAACGTCCCAAACAACAGACAGGGGCAGTCTTTCAGCATTAGTCACTGGCCTGTTTTTTGGTGGCGGAAACTACGACGGCCTGAAACACGCTGGAGTGCACGATCAGAAGCTGTTAAAGCTATCTATGAAGGACTGGATGAACTAGTATGGCTGCTAGACAAATTATCGGAGGACGTAACTATGACGCCTGAAACCAGAAGTGATGCAGAACAGTTACAGGCATGCGTATTAAATTTTAACTTCATAGTTTTATTACATTTCTGGAATGTCATTCTTGGAAAAATTGATCGTGTTCAGAAGCGCTTACAGGATCCTACTATGAATTTCAAGGAAGCAGCAACTGATCTTGAATCTTTGGAGCATGAATTTGTCAAGCTTCGTGATGATTTGAGCCAAGTTGCTGTAGAAAACGCCAAAACAAGATGCACAGCCTGGGGGATCGATGTGGACAGAAGAATTAGGCGACGTCGGAAGATGCCAGGAGAACTGGCAAGAGATGCAGGACTTTCAGCAGAAGAAGAAATTGTGCGCGTTATGAAGAGCATATTTTATCGACTTCAACAGGAGATGTCAACACGGTTTTTACGACTAAAAGACCTGAACACAAAATTTGGATTTCTGCTGGACGTCAAAACTCTTATATCCGATACAGATGTCGATGCAATTCGTCGAAATTGCACAGATTTTGGAAATTTCTATGACACCGACATCAATGGCCACGAACTTTTCACAGAAATTGGAGATTGCAAAATGCTGCTCAGTAACCGGAATGAAGTTCTGCCAGAAAATCCTTTGGATCTTCTTCTTCTTGGTTCTTTCGGTAAAGTCACGTAGAAGGGAAGTAATAAAATAATAAAAATAAAACATAATAAAATAATTCTCACGACGTTTCGGCTACAACGCAAGCAGCCGTCTTCAGGTGAAGAATGAGACACTACCAAGCTAGGAGCTTATATATACGCTGGGTTGGAGGTGCAAGAAGAGCGCCTTAACAAAAAGAATGTGCATATGAAGATGAATTTAGCATATTCATGGGTTCGCATTAGAAGAAGTTACAGCAGCAGATGTTAGTGTAAATGCGTTTGGTATTACCTTAGAGTCGCGGCATCTCTTCAGAAAGGTGAGAGACTCGATTAGCTGAGCCTTCTTATCACGGAGCTTGTTGAAGGATCTCAAAGTTATGTGGAAACCCTCCCCGTAGAGGCGGTTAAATTTCGATTTTTAGCTTTCGTGACTGCAGGGATTCATCTTCTTGGTTCTTTCGGTAAAATCACGTAGAAGGGAAGTAATAAAATAATAAAAATAAAACATAATAAAAATAATTCTCACGCTGTTTCGGCTACAACGCAAGCAGCCGTCTTTAGGTAAAGAATGAGACACTACCAAGCTAGGAGCTTATATATACGCATTTACACTAACATCTGCTGCTGTAACTTCTTCTAATGCGAACCCATGAATATGCTAAATTCATCTTAATATGCACATTCTTTTTGTTAAGGCGCTCTTCTTGCACCTCCAACCCAGCGTATATATAAGCTCCTAGCTTGGTAGTGTCTCATTCTTCACCTGAAGATGGCTGCTTGCGTTGTAGCCGAAACGTCGTGAGAATTATTTTATTATGTTTTATTTTTATTATTTTATTACTTCCCTTCTACGTGACTTTACCGAAAGAACCAAGAAGATGAATCCCTGCAGTCACGAAAGCTTTAAATCGAAATTTAACCGCCTCTACGGGGAGGGTTTCCACATAACTTTGAGATCCTTTAACAAGCTCCGTGATAAGAAGGCTCAGCTAATCGAGTCTCTCACCTTTCTGAAGAGATGCTGCGACTCTAAGGTAATACCAAACGCATTTACACTAACATCTGCTGCTGTAATTTCTTCTAATGCGAACCCATGAATATGCTAAATTCATCTTCCAATGCACATTCTTTTTGTTAAGGCGCTCTTCTTGCACCTCCAACCCAGCGTATATATAAGCTCCTAGCTTGGTAGTGTCTCATTCTTCACCTGAAGACGGCTGCTTGCGTTGTAGCCGTAACGTCGTGAGAATGATTTTATTATGTTTTATTTTTATTATTTTATTACTTCCCTTCTACGTGACTTTACCGAAAGAACCAAGAAGATGAATCCCTGCAGTCACGAAAGCTTTAAATCGAAATTTAACCGCCTCTACAGGGAGGGTTTCCACATAACTTTGAGATCCTTCAACAAGCTCCGTGATAAGAAGGCTCAGCTAATCGAGTCTCTCACCTTTCTGAAGAGATGCCGCGACTCTAAGGTAATACCAAACGCATTTACACTAACATCTGCTCCTGTAACTTCTTCTAATGCGAACCCATGAATATGCTAAATTCATCTTCATATGCACATTCTTTTTGTTAAGGCGCTCTTCTTGCACCTCCAACCCAGTGTATATATAAGCTCCTAGCTTGGTAGTGTCTCATTCTTCACCTGAAGTGAAGACGGCTGCTTGCGTTGTAGCCGAAACGTCGTGAGAATTATTTTATTATGTTTTATTTTTATTATTTTATTACTTCCCTTCTACGTGACTTTACCGAAAGAACCAGGAAGATGAATCCCTGCAGTCACGAAAGCTTTAAATCGAAACCTTTGGATCTTCTTGGTTTTATTGTGTTTTATGGAGATGACATATTTCCGAATTTGCGAATTTCACTGCAAATTGTATTAACAGCAGTTTCAATTGCAAGCTGTGAGCGGTCGTTCAGCAAATAGAAACTTATTTTGTCGTATTTGCGTGCTTCAATGGGACAAGATCGTCTCAGCGATCTTGCTCTTCTTAGCGTTGAAAGAGAAACATTGGAAAAAACAGATTTTGATTACGTGATTGACCAGCTTGACAGTGAAATCAAGAAAAATTAATCTCTTGTAGACTATGTCAACCAGTCTACGACAGTGACTGAGTGAGCCATGTAATATAATTTCTATAAATTAGCTTCTTTAAATACAATGTTTTATTAAAATGTAAATTGTTATTCCTTATTCGATGTAATAGGAAAATGTGATTAAACGGGGGGGGAAGGGGGCGCCAATTTTATAGTTCGTCCCCGGGCGCAAAATATCCTAGCTACGCCTCTGGTGCTGGATTATCCTAGTATCAAAAGTAGCATATGCTACGGGACCCGCACTTTCAAGGGCCCCGCGCTAAATGCTTTCGAGCTATCAATTCCGGTTCAGTGACTCTGCACTTGCTCTATTACTATAGTACTATACTGCCTACAGCTTTTATG